GACTCCAGATGTCAACGATTTATTTTGTGGAACTTTGGTATAACGTCGTAATTTGAAGGAATATATAACATAACCAAAGCCGACTTTTGTGCACCTGCATAAATGTAACGCAGATTGTTAATCGGGTATATTTAGTGATGATACCGTAATCTGGATCCACTAAGAAGGGGTCAGTTACTACGAGCACAGAGTTCCAGACTTATGTCACTGTTCCTCGCTGTTTCAAGGCACTTACATGCTAGTTGAACAGGTACGGTGCAACTAATACGTTTACTAGTAATGGTTTGGAACCTCAAAAAACCATAAAATATGATTCCCCAACCAGATGGTCTAAGCAACTGACAAGTAAACTTCCCACAACACCAAACTGTAACAGCGCCTTGTCTATCGGACATAGCCCCGTAAAAAGAACATCCAAGCTTGGTATCCAGCCAGTGAATATTGACGATCGCGTACGGAAACCACGCTTGATCATTACCTGTTGCCTCATATTCACTAATTAACAACTTCATTGAAAGTTATAACTGTCTTTTTTAAAATCAAGTTGGTTAAAGCATATAACCAAATCACTATGAGCTAGAAAGAAAATCCTAAAAAAGTTTCATAACTGCCTTTTTACCCTACAATATGAAATATTACCAGTTCACCCTAATCGGAGAAACGAGACCTAATAGAAGTGATCGAGTAACACGATAGACTACTCTAATCCGCTGAAGAAAGAAGTCTTGATATGGAGTAGGAAGTGTACTCTACAAGCGTCCAGGTAAATGAGGTCCCTAAGCACACAAATCAAGTTTATTTATACATCAGAGAAACCTCCTCGGCATAGCCACAGAAATAGAGTACTAAAATATCACATCAATTAATAACAGTCAAGGATTTTCCTGGTAGGAAATGTAGTCTCAGAGTCAACTGGTTAGCCCATGAATAAAATCTGAAATAATAAATATTATTCAGTAAGTTCAGGGGATCTAACGTCTAGGAAATGATGGTCAAACGTTTCGGAGATCCACTGGTGACATTAGTGAAAGTTTGATGAGCATTAGTATATTCAGAAATGTGAGGTAAACAGTATAGCTACAGGAAATAATGTACTTCGTGAAATATCTCGGTTTTGAAATCTAATTTATATGTTCCCAAAAGCTCTGAAGGGAAATGGAGGATGCTGATGATTACTACTAGTTTTACGCATGTAATTTAAGGACTTTACAAAATGATCCCCCTCTAATCTAACGTGATAGTTCAATAATTATTTGACGAATAAATAGTTTAACTTTTTCTAAAAATAACAGATACTAGGTGTAGAATCTATTTCGAAGGTTTTGTTTTCGGAAAATCCCCCCAGGTATATATATTTGCGTTATGATATGACTGTTAGTTATTTTATAACTAATTGTAGTTTTGTCATAACTAACCAATCAGATTGGTTAGGCGCTCACCACTTCATCTAGTCTGACCGGTCTATGAACTTTCTTTGTTGTGAGCGGCCAATCGATTGAAGGATGTTGTTATTTTATTTTATATAGATGTGACTCATGTATTTTATTCATTTTCTAAAGACACGCTATAATGTCCGGTACGTTTGCTCATCCTGCTTGATAATTGTAATTTCCTTATTTATTGTACTAAATTAATCGTTTACTTTTTGTTTAGAAACAGATAAAGTTTAAAACCAAATTGTCTTCTGTTAACTATAGTTTCACTCTGGATTCTGTCATCGGCGGTATTTGCGTTTACGTTTTTAGAATTACATCTGTAAGACAAATTAAATCCTACAATAACTGACTCTTTCTGTTGATATTTTGGTGATCTATTTGATTCCATTTTGAGATTTTATCATTGTATATTGTTATTATTTCTATATCTTTTACTTATATTAAAGTTTTTATGTTTCCTTCTGAACTGTACATATGTTGTTCAGAGATGACATTTAATATGGCTACAGCTATATTTGGATTTGATACTCTAGCAGTAACGGACTGGAAGCACTTATCCTTCCAGCAACGGAACCTAATGTGGTAATTGGAAACTCGAAGTTTTAATATTGTTTTTGGTAATTGTCTGTATTTTTCTTTTTAATTGGAATAGAACCGTTTTCTCCCAGAAATATCGTTTTTTGTTCCTGGACTGGGTGAGACGCGTATGAACCTGCACTTTTCGAGTTGGTGCGAACTGCAAGAGTAATTATAACTTTATACTAGGTACTCATATTGTGGATTTGATTGCTGAATTTCAGTGACATGATACCACAGCAGTTAGGGAACGAGTTATCAAACCCGTGAGTCACACCGAATCAAGAACCTACGAAATGGACGGCAAGAAACTCTCCTGTTAACTTCGAAATCCTGAGTCGTTTAGGACAGGTACAAGATGATCCTCTCAATTGAAACGAACGCCATCAGGACCAACCTAAGCATACAAGATTCAAATGTAAAGGTTATATTTGATTATCTACTTACTGTGGCTCAAAAATGGACCACGGATTTCGTAGTGGTATGTGCATTTTCAGAAAAAGATTTAACTCTTGATAGGTTCATGAACACCTCCATCCTACCCCTCAAGTGACTTTCATACTATCAAACAGAGTTCACATGATATTGTTTTCGTGTCTTTCACAATAAATGTGACAGTTTCTATTAGTTCATAACTTTCTTCAATTAATATTTACTGCTTGAAAATAACTGCTTTCTGGTTTAAAATTTTTCCATTTCCACATAGTATTCTAATGTTACTGAAGATAAAGTACCTAACTCCTTATAGTGTGTCAGACGTAAAATGCACTATTTCCAATGTATAATATTCATTTATTTATTATCACGTACTGCTTGCCGTATCATTTCTGGATGTTCATCAAATGAAAACAGTTGCTAGCTCAGATTTTCTCCATCTCTGAATCTCGTCATTAGTAGCGCTGAATATCGTTCTATTCATGAAGACATGATGAAGAAGACTTTGTACTTAGAGAGTCGAATGGTTATTAGAAGCACCTCTAATTTATCAGGGAACATAACATCAATAGCTGTGCGGTTTTAGTTGGGCATCGAGTCGTGACTGACTAAAATCAAAGCTACAGAACAATTATGTGCCCGTCACAGAGAAAATAAGTAAACCCATACCAGAGAATATATTTGCCGGAGATTTAGAAGTATCGAAAGAATGTCGAAATCCTGCCAGAAAAGAGGGTCGAAAGTACAGATAGATTAGAGCCGAAATAGCAGCAACATGAACAGACAGTTTGTGCGTACAAAGAAGTAAAAAAACAAAGAGGTTTGGTAAAGAACCACTGGTACAATTGGTCATCATAATGAATGTTTCTAGTAAACCAATCGCGTTCTCTTCAGAAAAGTGGATTCACTACACGGTCGAAACAAATAATAGCTTATTCTGTATTGCCTACGAAATGCCAGCAGAGAACATTACATAAATCGGCACCTGAGTCACTAATAATTATGACGGTACCGGAAGGAGGATGGGTCACGCCAGTCTCTGCAAGTGAACATGTATTTATTTATGTTTGTGGTGAGAAGTAAATTAGATGACGAGAGATATATCGTCTCAGGTTTCCTCTAGATATTAACCACTGGTGTCAGGCGTATTACCTGATTCCGATTCTACCGGCCTCTCACTACGATGTTTTCGGTAATTGGCTTTGAGTCACGAAATCCAAGTTCTCATGCTGTTGTTTGTTGAGCATGATTCAAACCTGCCAGTGAAAATTTCGGTTAACTGTGACATGGATGAATAAAACTCTCCCACAGGTTTTAGTTACAGATAAGCTGTCTGTAAGGGAATAGCTGATTTACATTTCCGGAACCTGAAGCTTATATTGCCTTCTTTGTTAGAACTATGGGCATCTAAGAATCTAGATCAAAAGTACTGGCTTTTAGGTGGCACCTTTATTTCATAAAAAACTGCTTAGGAACTGAAACTCGGTTTTCGTACGTGAGAAGAGTAGCCTGAAGGCATATTTCTTTGCGCTACATTTTTACGGCTCATTTGTCAAGCATTTCCTCACTGGACAACCAGTCACTAGTATAGTCGGTGAGAACCACTGCCTATAAATATCACGTTGACTACTTATAATACTAAATGACCTAGAGTTAAATTGGAAAGGGTGGATAGTAGGTTCAACACACAAGAAAAGACTTAACGCAATCAACATACCAAGCGTGTGTTTAAATATTTTGCTACGGTGACAGACAGGTTGGCCTAGTGTTTCTTGAGATACTCGTGAAAACTCTAATCCTTTCATCCGATGACAGCTAAATGTCTGACAAAAATGTGAAGGTCATGTAACTTTATGACAGAGTATGAAGGCTTTAAAAGTTTTAAAAGACTTAAGAAGTGACCATTTCAGTGCAAAGTTTATATCAGCAGTCGGATGAAGTTACTCCTTTCACCACTTGTTGGTTGTTTCTAAGGCTTACAAGCAACGGTATAAGCCATATCCTGCATTAAAAAACACAACCACAGTCATCCATAACCATAAGCAAATAGCAAAATATTTGAAACTTCAAAACCAAGCAATATATCTATGATTAGTATTTGAGCGAAGAGCTGGTAGTGAGCAAATATTATTAGCTGTTTGAACCTTCTTTTCCCGCTACCACAGATGACTATTTTTGAAAATTCAAGGAAACTTCAGAGTTGGAACCAAAGTTATGAAGCCGATTCAGACTCTCTTTAAAAAGAAATACTATTATTCTGAATATATACGAGCCGTTTAAGAACACTATCATCACGAAATTGTATACCAAAAACTTAACCACAGTAAATAGAATACAAAGCTATTCAGATCGAAATAATCAGTGTAACGTTCTTTATTATTCCAATCAATAGAAGCAATTACCTTGTTGAAGATCGGTAAGTTCTAAAACTGCCTTACCACCAGTCTTTATAAAAGAATGAACAGCAAATAGCATAAATATGAGAGGCATATCCTAAATGTATAGAACTACTGGCGAGTCTAGAAACAAACATCCAGTCCTCACTTCTGAGACGTGATAGTCGTTGTTTTTCTATTCGTATGGTGTGGCCTTGAAGTTAAATAAGAGGATACGGCGTCAAAATGTACTTCGGAGTTGTTATCACGTTTTCGTTTATAATCATAGAGTTACACGCAGAACGCTCATCTAGATCCTTAATTTCAGCCTCAAACGACACGTCGCACGTTTATTTTCATTATGTGAGCGGTAAGGAGTCAAATATATGGTGAATAAAATGTAATTTATAGTGGATGATGTGATTACTCAAGGCCTCGATATAGTTGCGATGGCTGCGTTTGAGGAAAAAATAAATACTACTGGGTAATTTTTTACATTGATCACGTCTAAATTCTTAAGATGGTCATCACTTACGGTGGCAACATCGTCTAACTTTCCTGACTATATACAAGCTTACTGGGCTGGATTTCTGGAAACTAACATTACATTAACTTTAACCGTATCTCAGTGGATAAACACTGTCAGAGGTATGCTATAACTGTAGTACAGCGTTATGTATCACAATAAGTCTTAAATCGATATTTGGTAACATTTTAACTTTCACCCATATGCATATTTTTAATATGAAGTTCAAAGTCACCCCTCAACAATGTGCAGAAGAAAGCTATAGTTCGTTCCATTTTACGGGAAGAACTTAACTATTTTTACTACCCACTTATATGCATACGACGTCACCCAATTAGTTTCTTCTGGTGCTGATGTATGAAATTTAGATAATAATCACATTCTTCACTTCAGCATATTTGTTCACACATGACATTAAAGACCATCTTTCAGAAAATCCAAATTAGATTAGGAAGATCTAGAGAAGATTTTTGCTGTTTTCCTTCTCTATTCAGAAACCATCGGTAATACAAAATAAAAACCAGCTTCGCAACTAAGGTTGCTTGAATTACGCGAAAAATTATTCTAGACTTTTATTTTCAAAACATAAAAATTGTCATTTTATCACATCAAATCCTTCATACATAAATTTCTTGTTTCCGCTAATACTTTTATCATATATATACTACTCTGCCATTTTGGTGTACTGATATGATGTAGCAAGTCCGTGTGTTCATGTATCAGTCCCTATGTTTCGTTTGTCAGGCCAGCTGAATGACGGTTAAATGGACAGATTTTTGATATCTCTCTACTGATACCATGGTTAATTTTATTAGATGATTTTATACTTGTATCCAGTAGCTCGAAAATGCACAACTCGGTTTCGAAGCTTTTGGACTCTCGTCAGTAAAATATATTTTATATCTGAAGAGAAAAATCTTATTTACATTCCAAAGATTAAATGTTGTCTACGGTTTTTTCCCAAAAGGTATTTTACCTAATAAATGTTCATATTTCGAATTTTTGAGAGAATATGAAACTAGTAAGAGCATTTACTATTGTGTCCAATTATACATATCCATATTATTCCTGTCATAACAGCTCCTGTGTTACGCACGATCTATATAATTATCATTGAAGATACAAAATGAACTATGTAGTAAATAGTTCATTCGCTTTTATATCCATTGATTTATGAATGATGTATCCTCTAAATATAATTGACTAAATTAACTCATTGTATTATCATTTTAAAATAAAGATATTTTTGATGGCGGGAAACGTAGTACAGATCACTCACAAAGATTGTCCTTTTTATTGATCCTCGAAGATATTTTGCTTACAGCGATGATTTCGAACGTGCAGATCTCAATCTACGAAACTTCCTGATTGAAATTACTCTGGTCATGCATATTCTCAGGACACATTTCCTTTTTTCAATGTAGGAAGCCAAAGGGCTTTAAATATTCGGAAACCTCAGCAGCATTAAAGTCGATCCTGTGTACCATCAACCATACTTTTTGTTTCTGAAACTTTTGTATTGTACCTGTGATCAATCATCATCCTCCTAAACTGACTCACTTTCAACTATTAAACATCAATTTTATATTCAAATACAAAACCTGGATATTAATTTTGAACCATGATAACGATTTAATTGAGGAGTATTACTTCATATATTTTTAATATCTAAATAAGCATAATTAATGAATCAAAGTGGTCTTGTTTCAGATATGTGCCCGATTCCATTTTCTAAGGACTGTAAAGTGATACAGAAGTACCTATCAGAAAATATGGCTTATATGTTGGATGAAGCTTACAAAAATGGCAAGCATAGTCCTTTTTGGTATCAAGTAAGGATGTGGTTCTTTTGCTTTTCTCGAAAATAGAGTGACAAAATTTCATAATTTTGGCATAAGTAGGTTAGAATAAACGTCGTGAGGTTGTCTAGCAATTTCTTTTGTGAAGTTACTGAATATTACCATAAGATTAAAATAGCACTCCACTCAATATTAGGGCGTCATTTGTTATGAAGCATTTTTATCTAATATCCAAATGCCTCCCTGCTAATTTATTTAGATGCAGTAGCTAATTCGTTTCTGGTTTATGTGGTGTGGGTTCCCGGACCGTAGCTGCTACCTTGACGTGGTGGTCGGGCTTGCCTATCGTGATGACCCAACCGAGCTATGCTGGCTGGAACATATGTTCCTGCAGGTCCTACCATGCTAGGCTGGTCGATCAGAGAACGATGAGACTAAAAGCAGCTACCCCAGGTCTGAGGGCGAAGTCGTACTGCTGACTGCAGATGGGCGTGACAGCAGTAAGCTGTTTCCCTCGGACAACCAGCATCTGCAGCGATGCTGCCTTCTCACAAGGGAGGAAGGGTTAGAAAAGGTCGGCCCTAAAAATGTCACACCTCCCCTACCTCACGGATTTCCGTCTCCTTGGGTAAGGGTGCCCACTAAGGGCCTTTAAGAACGGAGCTAATCCTCAAAATACCTTTCATAAAAAAGCCGCGCGTGACTGGCCTCAAGCAGTTGTCCCTTGGACTCTGCGGTCACGCTCCTAGGTCTCCAAGACCAATACTAATCTTCCTTCTCAGGTCCCTCAAGAAACAACCTTCCACGGTGTGGGCAGCCGGGAAGTAAAAACTGCCCTCATACCCGTAACAGCACGAGAGACCAATCTGGTCGAAATCAAATCCTTCCTACACCCACACATACCTCTATTCTCTCCACAACTAACTCTACTCACATTCCCTTATCTGACTGCACCGCTAATGCAAACTATGCGAGTTCACGAAACGTCATTCCTGGTCTCTTGAAACCTCGTCCTAGTCTACATGTTGGAGCATTTAATGTACGGACATTGTGTCAAATAGGGCAACAGGCATCATTAGCTAGGACTTTAGAATCTCGTGCCATCGATGTATGCTGCGTCTCGGAAACGCGCATACAGGATCCTAGTATAATTATTAGTCTGATTTCACCTTGTCAAAATAAAGAAGTAGCTCGATTTACTCTTCATGTATCCGGTAACCCTGATGCTACTTGCAGGGGTCTTGCTGGTATAGGTGTAGCATTGAGTCGTAGAGCTGAACAATCTCTCCTTGACTGGATCCCAGTAGATAGTCGCTTGTGCGCTGTCCGACTAAACGGGACAGTAAGGACTGGGAAGGATAGGGACACTCGCCGTTGCCTCTTCATCGTTTCTGCCTATGCCCCCACTGACTGCAGTTCAGACGAGGTTAAAGATGAGTTTTACAGAAAGCTTTCGGACCTCTTCCAAAAAGCTAAGCGCTCTGATATAGTAATAATGGCTGGTGACTTTAATGCTCAAGTAGGTAGACTAAGTGAGCAAGAGAGACACCTAGGTGGATGTTATGGTGTCGCGGCTCAGAGAACAGACAATGGCGACCGTCTGTTGCAAGCATGCTCAGACAACCGCCTATTCTTAGCAAACACTAACTTTAGGCATAAGGAAAAGCATCTGTTGACCTGGCGACCTCCAAAGTCGCCTCAACGTTGGACGCAACTAGATCGTATCGCCATCAGCCACCGATGGAGGGGTTCGAAAGAAGACTGTCGCTCGTTCTGGGGCACATGTCTAGATTCAGATCATGTCCTAGTGCGAGCTCGTATCTGCTTAAGGCTTACTGGACGTAGGAAAGACGCCGTAAGAAAGCCTCTTAGGATTTTACCTAATGATAATAAGGCAAAGAATATATTTCAGGAACAACTAGAAAGACAGTTAGGCGACCATTTAAGCGATTCGCATCTGGAAGCAGGATGGAATGATATCAAAAAGGCTGTGGAAACAGCTGTGATATCTGCTAGTAAGGTTGACCATAAGGCTAGAATGAAACCGTGGATCTCAGTAGCATCCACCGATCTGATGGATGCCCGAAAACTCATCCCACCTGACTCTGAACATGATGAAGAACGAAGTCAACTTAGGCGCAGACTTATAAAAAGTCTGCGTAACGACCGCGAACAGTGGTGGGTGGCGAAAGCAAAAGCGATGGAAAAGGCAGCGGCGATAGGCAACAGTAGGCAACTATTTAGACTCATCAAGGAAACTGGTATTAGGAACCCAACTGTGAGTGAAACTATTTCAGAAAAGGATGGTCTTATTATCCATTCTCAATGCAGGAGACTGGATCGATGGGCAGAACACTTTAGGGATCAGTTCAACTGGCCACGAGCCACTCTTCGGTTACCCACGATCTCCAGTCATCCTGAATGGCAAATCGACGCAAGTCCCCCCAGTCTTAATGAAGTTGAGAAAGCGTTAGGAAATCTGAAACGAGGACGAGCTGCAGGTCCTGATAGACTGACCCCTGAGATATTTAAGGATGGTGGTCCAGTTTTAGCAGCTAGGTTGACTGAGATCTTAGGTAGAATCTGGGAACTGGACGCAATCCCATCCGACTGGTCTCAATCCTTGATTGTCCCAATCTATAAGAAAGGACAAAAGTCTTCTTGTGACAATCACAGGGGAATAAGTCTAACTAATATAGTATCTAAAATATTGGCCTCAATAATACTTCGACGCTTAACGAAAGCTCGTGAAGAGCAGACTCGAGAAAACCAGTCTGGTTTTCGACCTGGACGTGGTTGTATAGACCACGTCTTCACACTCAGACAGGTCCTGGGACATAGACACACATTTATGCGTCCCATAATAGTTGTTTTCCTGGACCTAAAAGCGGCATTTGACTCAGTGGATCGTGAGGTTCTGTGGCAGTGTCTGTCATTGAAATGTGTACCAAATAAGTACACTAACCTTATACAAGCTCTCTACTCGAACAATACTGGTCGAGTGAGAGCTTATGGCGAACTGTCATCTGAACTCTTTACTTCAAGTGGTGTGCGTCAGGGATTTCCACTTTCTCCATTCTTGTTTAATTTTGTCCAGTGTCACCTGTTGTCGCTGTCCTCCATTTATTTTGTTTTCATTTTCCACTGCTGCTCACAATCCTTGCGTAAACATTTTTTCATCTTACGTTTGAGTAATCACCATTCTTTAAGCCTAACGGGATGAGCTTTCAGACCTTTATAAATCTACTGGATGCTACCAAACTCCACTGGTCTTCCCTAACTTTTTGATATCATTGTAGTATTTACAGCTGTTTAGATATCTTTCCTCCCTATCGTACTTAGTTATTCATGTCTATAACTCTCCCCGCAGTGAAACATAGGCCACCGACCAGTATTCTCCAACCCAGCCTTTCTTGGGCCTTCTTTTCCATTTCTATCTAGCTGGTACTGATTTTTCCCATGTCCGTCTTCAATACTCGACGTAGCGTGTTCTTTGGTCTTCCTCCTGTTCCTTAGCCTTGAGGATTCTAAGTGAGAGCTTGTTCTGTGATGCAGTTGTGTGGTTTCTTCAATGCGTGTCCTATCCACTTCCAACGCCTCGCCCTGATTTCTTCGTCTGATGTAATCTGGTTTGTTCTCTCCCACAGTAGATTTTTGCTGATATTTTCTGGTCATAGGATCGAAGGTATTTTTCGTAGACAACTTTTAATAAATAATTATACCTTCTGGATGATGGCTTTCATGGTTCGTCAAGTTTCCGCCACATACAGTAGACTTTTGTATTGATGATTCTAACTTTGATGTTGGTTGATAGTTGTTTTGAGATCCAGACCTTCTTCAATTAAAGAAATACTTCGCTTGCTCTGCCAATCCTCGCCTTCACATCTGCGTTAGATTCACCTTGCTCTTCAATGATGCTGCCCACATACGCAAAGGTTTTTACATCCTCCGACGCATCTCCATCAAGTGTGATCTGGTTGATGCATTCTGTGTTGTGTCAGAGGATCTCGCTTTTTCCTTTGTGTATGTTGAGACCTCCCGACCGTAGCCGTTAACTTGACGCGCTGTTCCGGCTTGCCTATCGTGATGACCCAACTGAAGCCTACTTCTTCTGACGCTGCTGCTACACTGGTCGTCTTCTCTTGCATTTGTTGTTGCGTGTAAATAGAAGAGCCAGATCATGTGCGAAGTCCAAATCTTCCAGCTGCATCTGAGCTGTTCACTGTATCTCGTGCTTCCCTTCAGATGTTGAGGTATTCACAATCCAGCCGAACACCAAGAGAAAGAGAAAGGATGAGAGTAAGCAGCCTTGCCTGGCAACACCGGTCTTCACACCGAAAGAATCTGTCAACTGTCCTTCGTGCACAATTTCTCATCATAAGGATTCCGTATGATGTCTACTATCATCTGAGGTACTCTGTGGTGTCGAAAAAGCCTCCATAGTGTTGCCCTGTCCACACTATTAAATTTTTTCTCGTAGTCAATGAGTGGAATTGATGTAGAGTGGTGATTTTCATTCAATCGTTTGTTCCGCAGTGATCCGTAATGTCGCAGTTCGCTTAATCCTCCTCCTTTATCCGGGCTTGGGACCGGCAGTTACCCTAGAGATGTTTCAGGCGGAGTTTCATCTTTCCTAGTTACTTTATAATGAATTGTTTCTTTAGGATCGATTAGGTGGTCAACTGATTCGATCTTGAGCAAATCCCTACTAATCTCATTTTTGAATCAATATCAAGGGAGTCTTATTGCTCTTATTATTTTCCGCTCAGCAAAATGCATAAAAATGCATCTCTCTCTAGGGTGTGATCGGACGGAATTAAAACTTGCACTTCAATAAGAGCGGTGTTCTTCTATCGAGTTTCTCTGCCAATGGCTGTTTGCGATTTGATCTATTTGCGTTGATGTTGAAGCTCAACAAGTTAGATATTTCCGTTCGTTATATTCAAAATCTGTCCTTGCTAGAAATTATCGGTTGCCTTAAGAAAACTGCAACAGACGGTCACTTATATCTGTTCTCTGGGCTAGGGTTCCATATTACTCACCCAAGTATTTTTCATTTTAACTTAGTTTACCGACCTGAGCTTTAAAATCTGCTGCGACTACTCCTGAGCTCTCGGCTTCATGAAGCAGATCGTGAAGTTTCACATAAAATTTGTCTTTTGCTTGATCCTAGCTATCGTCACTAAATATGTAAGCATGAACAACAGTATCTTTATATTTCTGAACATTTACAGTCCTTTCGAGACCGACATCGCATTAGCGATTGTCGATAGAATCCCAGTCAATAAGTCTCTGTTTGGCATTCAGATCTAATACAATATCCACGCTGACAGGATTATGAGTAGTCGCATCTCCGGATCCTCGAATGATATTTGGAGTCTTTTTGATATCAAGTGGGAAGACCATAGTACAACCCCGTATACAACTGCTGTGCTGTACCGCGAAGTCTTAGCTAGTGGTGCGCGTTGTCCGGTACGCCTTAGGGTCTAATCCGAACTTCAGGTTTGTAGTTTTATTGACTTATCTAAAAATTATCTTGGCTGACACTATGATTTTCAAACGATAAAGTTGTACCTTAGATATTTGAAAAAAATTGTCAGCCATCTGATTCAAATATCACGGTGAAACCATATATCATTTGAAGCGTTGGTAAATATTCGCATATAAGAACGCAAAAGATGCTAACTTACGACGGTTAGAAGTAATTTGATTGTGTATGTTAATCCGTGATACCCAGAAATGTCCACATTCGTACTCTAGTAGTTACATAAAGTCAAAGAGAACTCCAGCTGCACAGGTTAAAATAGTACATTTAATATTCGAATTAACCGCGAAATGATGTACGAGGGAACCACCAATTGCTAAAAATACACCATCACCTTCAATTCATGTTAGTTAGTCAGTCCTTCAAAGTATTACAAAAGTGAGAGTGGATTACTATTCTCTAGAAAGAACAATTCGTCTTTTTATGGCTGTCTAACTTCTGTCAGTTAGTAATCTCAATACCGTTAAAGTCTCTACAAACGTCCATGCTAATAACATCGCATCGACGGACTTCGCAGATCATAGTTGTTCAACTTTGTGCCACGCCCTTGTATCTTAGATGGAATATTTTATTTATATGATAGGATCAACACCAGGTTTTATAACCTAGACATTCTATGTAAACAATTTTTTCACGTGTCCATTTTAGTTTGTCCAACAAGTGTGTTTGTAATTGTCATTAAACTGTTATGAATATATTTCTGGTTTACGTTTCAGGTTGCTTTGCAGTTATGGCAGCTTAAGGGAATGTCTGATGCCTTTAATAGGAGATTCATTGACAGGGCAGATTTATTAAACCGTGATTACTTAGATACATTGATTAACGAAGTAATGGGGATTTAGTAAGTTTTCATTATTTGCTGATTATTTGGTGCTTGTTTTAAAACGGAACTTTTTATAAACAAGAAAAATAAGTAGATCAAGATCATACAAACGTTCACTCTGATAGTTACAATCACATCTTTTTATTTCAATGGTGTTGGGAATGACGATCTGTATAATTAAAAAAAAATAATTCAGAAGTTATATGTTGCCAACAGGATAACTATTTTTGTTGCTTATTATTAGTATTATTAATGCTGCCAATAATTCGGCAAGTGCATTTTCAAAATCACAACTTGATTTGTCCGTCCACCTTTTCCACTTTTGTTCCACTTTATGTAGAATCTTCTCCAGACGAATTTTTTTAAGTGTCTAACTTTTCAAGTAGTCTCTATTTTCAACCAAGAACTCCTACCGAATTTGAACATGTGGGTGATAGTACTAGTCCGAAGTAGAAAATCTAGTGACTATATTTTAAAAACTCATTGACTGTTCTGGCACGCTTTGTCAGATGAATCAGAATTTGATTGTAAACAAGTTACGAGCGCTCATATCAAGACTCTATGCTAGTGTATAAAGATTTAGCTCTTGGTCTGGGCCATGTTGTTCAGTTTCACCAGATAACCTCATCAGCTATATAAGTTAATCGAAACATCTCAAAAATTAGTAGCAGTAATACGGATAAATTTCATTCCTTACTTTTATTTCTTTTTCGAAAAAGAAATTACGTACCTTTTATTCAGGTATTTTACGCATCTTTTCTTCTTTTTAAGTTTTCCACAGGTATTATCACCATTTTCTTAGCTTCCTATCTCATTTCTTCTACCTTGACTTGATAGACAGGCTTGCCTATCATGTTGACTCAACCGGGTTATATATATGTCCCTTTTGGTCCTACCATGCCAAGAAGTTGGTTGGAGAACGGTAAGACTAAAAGCAACAACTTAAGTTCGGAGGGTAAAGTCGTATACTGACTATGGAGGAACATGACAGCAGTAAGGTGTTTCCCTTGGACAACCAGCATCTTAAACGATGTCGCCTTATCACAACGTAAGAAAGAGGTTAGAAAAGATCGACCCTAAATATGTCACACCTGTCTTAACCCTACGGATGTCCGTCTCCGGTGGGAAGGCATTTTGAAGAACGGATCTAGCACATTAAAAACTTCCCACTAGAAATCAGTGACTAAAAAAGACAGCAAGGAAACCTCTAAGAGTCCTACAAAAAAACCAATATAACACTTCAAAAGCAAATAGGAAAACCACTAGACAATCATATTGGTGATAACCACCTCGAGGCAGCTTGGAATAATATCCAAACAGCTGTGATATCTACCAATCAGTTAAATCAAAAATCTAAGGAAAATCAGTGGATTTCAGTGGCATCTACTGAACTAATGGACGTTCGGAAACTCATTCTGTCTGGCTCTGAATTCTTTTAGGAACGAAGGCGGCTTAAATACAGGCTAATTGAAAGTTTAAATGATGATCGTGAGCACTGATGGGAAGCAAAATCTACGAGATGGAAAAGGCGACAGCGATAGGTAAAAACAGATAACTTTTCCTACTTATCACGGAAACTGTCATTAGAAATCCGGCTGTTAATGAGACTCTTGGAAAAAGGCGGGACTATTATTCATTGTCTCTCCAAGAAACTAGACCTATGAGCATACACTTTGAGGAACAGTTCAACTTGCCTTCAGTTACAGTTCGGTTGCTCAGCATCTCCAATCAACCTGAATGGCAAATTGATTTAAGTTGAAAAGGCTATAGGCAACCTCAAGTGAGAGAGAGCAGAGTCATACGCCGTCCTTAATTTAAGGAATATATTATTGTGGGGCGCCTGAATGTGTGCCCATGTTCTAGGACATGACGAAATGTGAATATCTAGTCCATACATCCACATCCAGTTCGGAAACCAGCTTGGTTTTCTCAAGTCAGCTCTTCACGAGCTGTAGTTAAGCGTCGAAGTATTATCGAGACTAACATTTTAGACACTACATTAGTGAAACTGATTCCTCTGTGACTGTCACAAGAGGACTATTGTCCTTTCTTATAGACTGGTCCAATCAGGGATTGAGACCAGTCGGATGGGATTACGTCCAGTTCCCCTAGTCTACCTAAGATCTCGGCCAATCTAGCTGCTAAACCTGGACCACCATACTTAAAAATCTCCGAGTTAAGCTTGTCAGGGTCTGCTGTCCTTCCTCGCCTTATATTTCCTATAGATTTTCCAACTTCGATGAGAGTTGGAGTACTTACACCAATTTGCCATTCAGGTCGACTGTAGATGGTGGGTAACTGAAGTGTGGCTGAAGGCCAGTTGAACCGGTCCTTAAAGTGGTCTATCCGTCGATCGAATCTCCTGGACTGAGAATGAATAATAGTCCCATCTTTTCTTGAAATAGTCTCACTAATCGTTGGGCTGATAATAGCGGTTTCCAAAATAAGTTTGAATATTTGTCTACTCTTACGTAGGACGATGGCAACTAGCGGCTGAAGATTTTGATTGACATGGCTCAAAACCGTCTGTGATGGCTTAGATATATCCGTTCTTCGCCTTTCACCGAATTTCGTGCTTACAAAGTCCTCATAACCTTTTTTCTCTTTTCATATTTGTAGCACTGGTTTATTTTTCTCGAATCCTATTTTCGGTCCTTAATGTTTTCCATTACCAATAACGCTACTACATCTACTACTACGGGATTCGAACTAACAAACTTATCTCACTTAGTCAATATGATATGTCAACTTGAACTGATGTACGTACATAATAATTCTTACGTTACAGCCGACTGACAGCTTTTTTCTGAAATGTGACATATAGCAACACATTTGCTCATATCTGTCATAGGTGATTTTTTTGCATGTAATTGTAGTTCTTTTCTGATCATGCATTAGGAAGTTCCAAAACTTCTATCACATTAACTATCATAGTGTAGAGTTACACTTAACTAACCGATTACCTGAATCAAACATTAGATCGCTATATATATATATATATATATACTTTTTGTAATGGTATGTCTTGCTCACGAGTCCATCGCAGTTAATTTGTTACACAACGTTCAGTTTTACATAGTAATTCTTTTGAAGCAAACTTTTTCGGCTCAATATGTAACGCCACGTAAAATTTCAATTTTGTAGTTTACTACAACTCAATGGTGATCTTGGTGATTTAGTCAGTGCGTTATCTGTTCCTGCTTTGATGAAAGGCAAAAACACAATGGGACACCCATTTATCACCAGTCCATCGTGTTCAGCATTAATTAAAATAGTTGGCAGTAATGTATATTTGTCTCATGTTACATGGTCATCATACAGTATTATGCTACGTGTACTGAAGCATTATAATTTTCCTTGGAAAGCTGTTAATACTACAAGTAAGTGAACTGGAAATCTTTTAATGTTTGTGTACACGGATTGTTTCTTCAGTAGAAACCATGAGGCCTAATTGATTGTTATGAAATTTTAACCTTTAGGTTGAAATGTGACCACTAGTCTAAGTGATTTGACAAATCTGAGTCCTTTAGATGGTCACTCACTGAAGAATAGTTAATTGGTAACATCAGTGTCAGTGGTGACGATTTGAAATTAACAAAAATCAATGGTATCCTCAGTCATGCTGTTGTCTTTTAACGAGTGTCAACTTTCTCAAAACCTTAATTCAGGACAGCTAATCACTTGCCTCTAACCACCTAACATCAAATGCAATGAATCCTCCTACTGAATTATTCATACAAGTGCCCGAATTCTAACTTTGTTGCTCGTTAAATACGAAAGACTAGATTCCATGACTTTACTTACTGCTTGGTTGTTAATTAATGTTAATAAAAACCCCGAATTATATTCTGTTATTTAAATAAATAACTAAATAATTTCAATCTAGATGTGTTAATTTCAAAACCTAGTGTTAAATGGTTGTTAAATATAAGTTTATTTTATTGAATTGAAACTAATCAACAAAATTATTAAAACTTATTTTTATACAGTATGCCCACTCAGTAATAAGTATGAAAGTTCAACTACTATTCATTCACATAAATTATTAACTAAACATAAACAATATAAACATTAGACGGCCGTTTTTACTTCCGTGAAGGTCCAGCCTAAACACATACATTATACCACTTTTTATTTGGTCGTGTAATCATACATATTGTTTAAACCTTGTACATTGTCAACATGCCATAAACTCATTCTAAATAACATGTAACAAAGTTGTACAATTAAAAATGCATTAAATAATTAAGAAGTGTTAACATACGTGAAATGTCACCCTACATTAAACTGTGATCTGTAACATGTGATTATATGGTTTAGAAATTAATATTGATAACTACTGTTTTTTCTATATTATTTCTTTTTAGATTCAGAGAAAATTCCTGGTTCTGCAATCACATTTTCTTCGTATCCAACATTTACCAGTTCAGTTGATGATTTCTATTTAACAAGTGCAAATCTTGTAGGTTAATATTTTAATCAAGAAACCTATGTCATTTAGAGAGGTTTCATTGAGAATTAACAATAGTTAATATATATATAGAAATAACTTCACATCAAAAATATTCTCTACAGTGTGTTTATAGTGTCCTCACACAAGTTTTAACTCAAGACCATCACATAAATTTAATTTTTATCGTTAAGTAATTTATGCTGAGTAATCAATAAAAACCACAGAATACTGGTCAATATTTGAATGCTTAAAAAGTGTTTAAACTGTTTGCGTAGTACATTGTTCTCTATTATTGTTACATTGTAGAATGAAATTGTTTATATTCGGTTTTTTTGGTTAGTGGATAATTCGATAAGCGTATTATTCAAGTTCAAAATTTTCTGTTTGATAAGTTATCTCATCATCAATACACATTTTAATATTATTTAAAAAATATTTCTGGAGTTCTATGAACTTATGTATTCATTATGATTTCGCTTCGTTTAACTAAAAATCTTCACCATAGTATGCATTTATTCTTCTTTTTGAATAGTTTATTAATAAACAAAGATTAACTATGACTGAAAGCATGTTTTTTTCTTCCATCTGTACTAATAACTGACACCGGTTGAACTAGAAGTGACTTGTTAAACTTATTACCTTGGTTGATAGCTCTCTAGAATTTAAAATGATACTTGTTAACATCTAATCCCTTTCTACATGAATAATTGTTGTTTGATGAATGAAGTTGTAGCTAATAATAACGTGTACAAAAACTACATTGAAATCGTATCATCCAAGAATAGGCATATTTGTAACTAATGAGAAGTAAATAATGCTTCTGCTTTATCAAGATATCTTTGTACATTTTATTTGAAATCATAAGATGTTTTTAAAATACTTTAGTGGCGAAAAAAGCAACTTGCTTATTTTTTTTTAAATTGTCATTTTAAGAGGAATTCATAATTTTCATTTGTATACCAGACTATTAGTGAAACTACTAATGGTGTATATAATAAAACGCTATGGAATATTGTTCGTAATGGTAGTAAAAATTCTGTATTCACATTTATGCGTACTATGGTTGCCAATCGTTTGGCCAGAACTGGAGATGAATGGATCCAATATTTCAAATACAACAATAGTGGAACGTAAGTCATTTGTCGCGTTTCTGAATTATAATTAAAAAGCCTTAGTATACGAATTTTATAAAGATTTTCGAATGTACAGTTTATATCATGGACTGACTTTAATCGATTGCTATCAGAAACAATAGTTTTTAGTCAAATATATTGTTATATATCATGAACAGAAATAATCGCGATTAGTAGATCATCCATTCTCAGTTTTTTTCGAGAACCCTATAGATAGTCATATTGTTTATATGCGATTTTCCCTCAAGTATTTGTGGAGAGCGTTAAGTTAACTTCTTTCTCGAATGTCATCAAACATTTACTAACATTTTTCATACAGTTGATTATATTAAGATCATACACAGAATGCGAATCAATGATTAATCACCTAATGGGATTCGTTACAAATCCAATTATGTAGATTAGATCTTATAACATGCTTTTAAAGTCTTTTTATTTTAGATTGCTTCAATTTAACCAATTTATTATTATTATCAACGTTTGAACTATCCGACAATATAAACCTACACATATTATGTGTAGAAATGTGCACAGTATCAGTAAAACCCATACCTATAATTTCAATTTCTTATGAAGTATTTATTCAAACTTGAAAAGTACCTTAAGTAGTATTTTGATTGAAAAATCGTCATTAAAATCTATTTCCATTTAGGCTTTTTAAAATTATTATTTCTTATCTACTGGAAACCTATAATTGAATAAATGTTCACATAAAAATATTAAATCAAGTAGTTTGTGAATAATTTTGATCAAAGTCCATAGATCACTTTATACATATGATGATAGCTTGAAATGTATGGATTCACCATTAATTTATGTATCAAATAAAAAGCTATTGGGACTTGACAAAGTTCAAAAACTAGTAATCTGAAAGAATATCATTTAAATTATTCGTATATTCTATAAATTTTTTCTCGCTACTTCGTGATTTTCATCACACTTTAAAGTATTCAGTTCAAGGTGCGCTTATCAAATGTTATTAAGTAGATTTTAACTCATCATATCTGTATTTTCATATTAAAATCATAGCATTTAGCACATACGTCCAGAGTGAACGTTCGTGCATAAAATACTAATTCATTAATCACATTACTCACATGACTCATAAGTAGTCACTAATTATCCATTTGAAAAAATTGCTTATTTTGATGCGTTTTCGATTAGAGTAATCAAAGGAAAAGCAGTTTAAAATCTTTTTGCAAATACTTAGAACTTGACAATAGAGTTGCATTTTAAGTTGTTTCTCATTTTGATTGTTTGAAAAATTATGGATTTCTAAGTTACCACATTCGTTGTACCTAGCATTACTTATTTATATAGAAAACTTCAAAGTCACAATAAAATATTTCTAATCATAAATATTCATTTTTAATTGTTTACTTTAAAGGTATAATAATCAATGGATGATATTTGATGCCAAACAATGGCCAAAATATAGAGGATCGCTTATGATTGCTGAACAGTTACCGTGAGTATTTCACTTTAATTGTACTAAACTGAAGGGTAAATGTCGAAATCGCATATAAACACTATCCTGTGTAGTAAATTCACGTGTGGATTGGAATAGAGAGATAAACAAAAAAAATACATTGAACCTTTCTAATTACTGGATTTAATTCTCAACATTATTAACTCAACTAAGAAGATATCAACAGTTTTTGTACACTAATGCTATTCATTATTATCGAATTTCCTAAGGATTGTAGTGACTATATTCATAGTTTACAGATATGTGAATATTTTTTCGACTAATTTATTTGTCTTGTATGATGTACAAGAATTAGAAACTAATCATGAAATGTTTCTGTGCTGTGTATTTTTAAAGAATCATTCAAACAAACAAGAGGAATCATTTACCAAGTTTAGTAGAAAAATGAATTTTCCATTCTGAATAAAATCCTCACTCTAGACTTGAAAATTCATGTGTTGAACACTGAATATTTAAAATAATTGAAACATTTTCTATTAACGGACCGACAACAATTAAGTGATCTATTATTCTTGTAGTTTTTCCAATAAATACAACAGACTAATGAACCTGGTTAGTAATGATATTGGTCATTCACCTTGTCACTTACGTGTTTAAAGTGTTATAACCCTGTAAGTTCCTTCCATGGAACTCAAGATCTAAATTTAGTTATTTCTTTTCAATAATTCATCTGTACAGGGGTGATTATTCAAAAGAATTAGTAATCAGTTACAATCAACTTTTGACTATCGTATACCTTAATTTTATGATAGAACACAATGTAATCTCTTGATGTTCATTTAAATCGGTGATAAGCGTTGATACATATTTTTGGTAACATTGGCTACATAACTTGTAAAATTTTAACCAAACCCTATTCATATGTTACATGTTCAACTCAGCATAAATCTGATCAAAATTAGTCTTGATTCACTCTTTTTCCAATAGCCCTTACTTCATTGATGATTGTCGATAAATATGTGTTAAATTCAAAAGAATAATTTCTCTTGCTCTTAACAAATCTATAGTATATTTGAAAATAATTTTATGTTGTGCTATAGTACAATAATATAAACTTATGGAACAAGTCAATCGCTAAAGAATATGCAAATAATTTTGTAAATGATATTCAAATCAATATCAATTAGCTGAATCGGGTAATTTATTCTATCTTAAAATGATGGAATCCATGGCTCAATTGGATATTTCTTGGTAATGTTGTGCTCTCCACCCACATAGTTTGATAGGATATTGCTTTACTTTCTTCTTCCAAAACTTTGTCACTGTTTTCTAACTTCCAGTAGCAGATAATACATCATGAGTATCAATATCAACAACCAATTTTTCGGCAATTATCTTCACTCTTAGGATTTATCTTTGGGAAAAGATTCGGAAATGACTATTATCTAGAAGACTTGTGTTAGACATTTTTATTTTCAATTACTTCTTGATTGTTTTCAAACTGTGAACAAAACCCACAGTTATCAAAAACATAATTATGAACAAATAAATTTTGGAGTTTCTAGATTTTTTGAGGTAGATAAACTAGATCGATTCTACCGTGGGTATCCAACTGAAGCCATTTTCTGGAGGATATTAGCCAGAAAATCGACGCAGACTTAAAATAATCTCAACTCCTTAATGATTTTATATCATAATGGTGAAAAATATTTTTAAATTATTGTACGTACAACTAGTACATACAGTGACCATCTATTTATCACAGTAATTTTACGCCCTAGTTATAATACTACATGAATGCTATCTCTGTTTTTGTGTGATCAAGAACATTTAGTTTAGAATATGACCTGATAAAATCAAGCTATAGTATTGTTTGTGATAAATTTAGTCAACATCAAATTGATAAAATATTACGAACTGCTAATTAGTTAATTTTTTTAAACTTATATTAGATATTTTCAAGAATATGATATTCATCTTATGTACTGTTTGAATACTTTTCTATGTAGAGGCATAGTGTCTAGTCTTGATGTTACAAATATACTGAAAGTTCAAGGTTACTGGGCCAGTTACAATTTACCGTAAGTTTTTATTTCATATTCTTAACAACCTATTTTTATTCATTTTTGAATATTCGTTAAAGTTAAAAGGTTATTTGCCGATTTAATATAAAGGATGGGATCCTACTTTCTACTGATAATATTCTATTGTTATTGTTGTAAAGTATAATCCGGTTTTATTCTTCTAGGATCTACTGGTATCTCAATGAATATTCATTTCTTTACTAAAAATTAAACATCTGTCAATCCAGAACTCAAGTGTTATCTGCAATCCATTTTTGTTAGTGGAATAAAAATTTGGAATATAAGAAAATAAAGCTAACTTAGTTTCATATAAAAGTTCTCATAAAGATACTTTATGATAAACTTTTCTATAAACATGAGTCATTATGAAACTTTTTAGAATATTAAATATCGTATACCTGAAACCATAAGTTAAGAGATGGTATAATTTAATAATATCTAGTCGCATATTTCTGAATATTTGTGCTTATTAAAGATTGTTATGAGCTTAATGTTCATCATGGTTTTTCAGTAGGTCAACAATAATGAACTTTACAAGAAAATCTTTAGTGTCTCATCGTCATATGCAGTTTATTAGTAAGCTATTACATCCAGACTTAAAACGTGGGCGATTCTAGTACAATTCCAAACTTTGACATTTTATCCAGGTTTATTGATGACATCTACATACTCAGTGGAACAAAGCAGATGGCTGAAATGTATGGAGACTGGTATGTACACAATAAGACATCAAGAGCAAGAATTTTCCGTCGTGATCATCACAAAGTTGTTGATTTTCCAAGTATGATGTCACTTATGAGGCAAGTCTAATTGTACTATTGATTATATTTCCATAATTGCTCCTTGACCGAGGCCAAGTATACTACAATAACTTCTACATTTACGATTTAACCAGATTTATACTTCTAACTTTAAGTAGTGACTTGATAATTTGTGCAGTACGATAAGAGTATTTAATGTAATTCTAATTAACTCACTTGATGTGGCATCAACCACAGGATCACTTCACAGAATTCTCTGTAATGATACGAATTATTTTTAAGATGTACTTTCTTATTATTTCTAGTTAGGAATTTTGATTTACATTTTCATATTTCTTGGTAAAGACAAAGATGTTTGGTACGTAGATGTTTCTACTTTCTATGAAAAAAATATTTACTTACCCAGTGTAGTTATGTCATTTATGACTATTTGGTGATGTCAATTATTTCATGTACTAACCTAGTGCAATATTTTACCTAAATCTATATGCATCAGCGTTAGGTAAAACTACGTAAGTTCCCAACAAGAGTCAATTTTTTATGTTATCGCTCACAAGGTATTTTGAGTTTTCAAATGTCGTCATGTTAGAGGACTTGTCTTTGCTTTCAGATATAATGACTTCAAACATGACCCATTATCTGCTTGTCCGTGTAAACCTCCATACACGAGTAATAAGGCGATATCAGCACGAGATGAGCTGAATGATCCGGAGGGACAGTACCCAATTCATTCGTGGTCTTACCGTCTACATGGAGGGACGGACGCCAAAATTGTTGACTTATCAATGATAAATCAAGTAAGTGACTGCACATTAATTTTACTAAAATACGTCATTTAAAAACTCCTGTATAGACGTTCGGCAAGAATGAAACGTAAGCACAAATATCTCTTCATAATTATTGTTCATCATCACCAGCATCGTCTCTGTATAAATGTATTCTCTACAAACAGGAAGAAAATGTTCCGACCGTAGCTACTACCTTGATATGGTGGTCGTTATTGTCTATCGTAATGTTGGGGATGTTAGATCCCCAAAATAAGCTTGATAATGCCGTATTTTGGTTTTCACGTTTTGCCAGCATGGGCTGATCAGATGACCTTGAGATTTCAATTCCCACCAGGAAAATCCATGGCTGTGATTGGCTGCTGTGTATTTTAGTATGCTATTTTCTTAACTGTCTCAAGGACGTTCCTATGTTGTATAAATAAACGAGAGTTGTATGCTTGATGGTACTGTGATTGCTGGGTGTTTGTAGAATATACTTTCTACGCTTACAAAGCCTTCTCACTTCAGCCTCGGATTCAAGGTAGCCTCCCTGGACGCTGGTAAAAGTCTCGTTTGCGTTTATCGACTGAGGTAAACTCGTAATAGCCTCAAGCATACTAAGTGACGAACTTATCACGTAATGACCCAACCGAGCCATATTGGCTGGGAAATATGTTCCTGTAGGTTCTAACATGCCACGCAGGTCGATTGAAGAACGATGAGACTAAAAGCAGCTACTCAAGCTCTGAGGGCGAAGTCGTACTGCTAATTGTAGAGAGGTGTGATAGCAGTAAGGTGTCTCCCTCGGACAACCAGCATCTGCAGCGGTGCTGCTTTCTCACAAGGAAGGAATTGGTTAGAAAAGGTCGACCTTAAAAATGTCACACCTCACCTTACTACACCAGAGACTTCCGTTTCTGGCGGTAAGGCCTTTAAAAAAGAATGGAGCCAAACACTTAAAAACTTCTCAGAAAAATGCCGTACATGACCGGCCTCAAGCAGCTGTCCCTTGAGCTCCGCGGTCGCGCTCCCAGGTCTTTAAGAACAGCGCTAGTCTAATTTCCTTCCAAGGTTCCTTAGACAACACCGTTCCACGGTGTGGGCACCCAGGAAGTGACATCCGCACTCATACCCGTAGCAGCACGCGAGACCGAACGGGTCACAATCAAATCCCTCCTCCCTTTTGTCTCCATGACTCACCCTTCTCACACCCCTTTAACATCATGCCCTGCTAATGCAAACGATTCGGGTCCACGAAACGTTATTCCTGGTCTCCTGAAAACTCGTTCTAATCTACATGTTGGAGCATTTAATGTACGGACATTGTGTCGAATATGGCAACAGGTTTCTTTAGCCAGGACATTCGAATCTCGCGCCATCGATGTACGCTGCGTCTCAAAAACGCGCATACAGGATCTGAGTAGCGTAATTCATTTGACGTCAACACGTTAAATGAAAGAAGCAGCTCGATTTATTCTTCGTATATCTTGAAGCTCTGATGTTGCTTCCCAGGGTCTCGCTGGTGTACGTATAGTATTGTGTCCTAGGGCAGAACTAGGCCTCTTAGAATGGATCCTGGTAGAGAGTCGCTTATGCAATGTCCGACTGAACGGGACAGTAAGGACTCGGAAAGATAGGGAAACTCACTGTTGCCTCCTCATCGGATCTGCCTATGCTCCCACTGACTGTTGTTCAAATGGGGTGAAAGATGAGTTTTACAGAAACCTCACTAAACTTCTTCAGAAAGTTCAGCGCCATGGTATGTTAATAATGGCTGATGACTTCAATCCTCAAGTAGCTAGACCAAGTAAAAAGGAAAGACTGCTGGCTTTATCTTATGATGTCGCGGCTGGTTAAACAGATAATGGCGACCATCTGCTGCAGTAATGCTTAGATAATCTCCTATATCTAGAAAACACTAACTTTAGGCATAAGGAAAAATATCTCATGACTCAGCAACCCTACTTCAAGTGGTGTCCATCAGGTATGTCCACTCTCCATTCTCGTTCAATTTTGTCATAGACATGCTGCTAGATATAACATTATCCTCGTCAGATTTTTCAGGGGTGGACCTTATACCAGGAGGATCGCTTATTGACTCAGAATATGCTGATGACATAGTTCTATTTGGTGAAAACGCTGACAAATTGCAGTCTTCTCACTACCCTGAGCAACAATGCAAGCATGTTCGGGACGCGGTTCTCCCCCTCGAAATGCAAAATGTTGCTTCAAGATCGGCTTGTATCGGTACTTGAACTAGTGATAGGGAGTGAAGTAGTTGAGCGTGTCGACCGCTTCACTTATCTTGGGAGTCTCATCAGCTCTGATGGCCTGGTGACTGACGAAATCTCAGCACGGATACAGAAGGCTCGATTGGCTTTTGCCAATTTACGTCATTTATGGCGTAGGTGAGATATCCGTTTGCTGACTAAAGGACGAGTGTACTGCGCAGCAGTTCGCTCCGTCCTACTTTATGGCTGTGAAACATGGCCAATTAGAGCAGAAGATATTCGTAGGTTACTTGTTTTCGATCATAGGTGCCTCCGAAGCATTGCTTGAGTATTGAGGGACACCCGAATAAGCAATGCTGCTGTTAGGAAACGGGTGCTAGGTAAGGATGGTAGATCAATAGATGAAGTATTGAAACTTCATCAGTTGAGGTGGTTGGGTCATGTGTTACGTATGGCTAACCACCGACTGCCTCGACGAGCTATGTTTTGTGGTGTAGGAATAGGTCGGAAGAAAGATGGGGGCGGCCAGACCGAAACATGGCAGAAATCCATGAAGTCACTGACAAGTGGACTGAGTCATGTTGATAGATGTAGGCTACCTGGTTGGGGTCCGCGAGATGATAGTAACCGATGGTTACAGACCTTGAATGACATGGCTCAAAATCGTTTGCAATGGCGCAGGTGCATTTACTCTTTGTGTTCTCTCAAGTCCTAACCTTCTGAATTCCTCATCACCTATATCTTTTTCTTTTTAAATTCATTTCACAAAATTCTACTTCTTGAACAATACCTTCGAACCCTAATCTCTCCGTTTACTTCTAATACTTTTTCTACCTCTACTACTAAGGGATTAGAATTGACAATTATATCTCTGTGCTAACGTGGTATGGCAACTTGAACTGCTGTACTTACGTACAAAGTTCTACGTTGCAACTGACTGATGTATGTGAGGAAATAAAAAAATCTCAACAGGACCGCCACTCTCTCCTCTTTAGTGTCATGTCCGATGACGTCTCATGCACCATCTCTGAGTCCCCAACCAGGGTATCGTTACAGTCCAATAAAGTCAGTCCTGTACAGCTTTCTTTCATACCACGACAAAAACTGCATAAGATGAAGTGAATAACTTGCGGATACACGAACATAAACTTCCAGCGATATGACACAATATCTAGCCTAATGGACGTAAACAACAACGGACATGAATTCAGTTAGGGAAATGACGAAATTCTGGATGTGGGGAATTTAAAGAATGGCAGAATATTTCGGAAAGTGTGACATTGAAATCGATCAGCAGTCAAGAGATACATCGAGTCAGGCTTGATCTATTAATCTATATAGAACTTAACAGAAAAGCTAACTTGAATACAAGAACAAACGTAAACAATAAAACCAGGGAGGACAACCAATCATAAACAAAGGAAAGAACAACTAAAAATTCCACTTCTGCATGTAATAAGCCCTGATAATGTTACTCATAATCATCTAATCCAGATAATTCAAACACACAAATGGTTAAATTCTTTTGTGAAAGTTCGTAGAGAATAATGACTATTTCGCTTCTTGGGTGTGGTCATATATATATTATATATATATATATATATATATATATATATATATATATATCGTTCATTTGAATTCTCAAATTTGTAGATTTTAAAACTCGTCCACTTAGGATTCGCTTGAATTTCTTTCTGATACTCGGCAAGTATTCCAGAGGACTTTGTCCAAAATAAGAGCATGTTGTGGATTTTCATCCATCGTATTAATACTTATATCTAATCACAATACTGTCTTTATATTTTTAGCTGAACATGATCGCAATCAGTGGACCGACCTACGACAACTTTCCTCCATTTCGTTGGTCACTAATTAAAGATGTACAGAAACCTATAATGCACCCAGATAAATGGCAGTTCCCACCTGTGATCACCAACTTCATTGACTACCTAAGCACAAACAGCAACATTTTTACTAAATTCCTTTCTTTCGAATCACTTTTTAGCCCTGTTTTGTAAAAATGAATTCATGAACGATGTTGCTGTAGACTACTCTGTAATCCGAAATCACATATAAATTATAACTCGAATCTTGGGTTATTTTCCAAAATCTTTCGAACTACTTATTTTATTTGTTACACATAGTTTTTGACACAACAAGCCACCAAAAACAGAACTTGCTACATAGAAATGAAGCGATAGCACTGTGACAGAATGGAGGAAATAAGAGAGATATAGTTAGTCAGAAATTAAATAATGTTATCTCATAAAAGAGACCGGTAAGTTAAAATACAGCCAAAAAGATTCCTTCGAATAAGGCTAGCTTACATCAGTTTTAAAAACAACGTGATAGAAAACTATAACTCATTCACCACTGGCTTTCATTCGGAGTCATATCTGACGTCTCAAATCATAGCTGCATCATCCTCAGGACTCTAGCAAATGAGTCATAAAAAGCATTCCTAACTTCCATATTTAAAAGGAAGTCAGATTGAGTAGTCCTACTTTACATGATTGTTGAACTCCGCCTATAGAGCCTTCCGGGGCCACTGACGGTCCAAGGCCCGTGTAAAGGAGGAGGGTTTAGATACTATATTGCTTAGACTGATTCCTCTATGATTGTCACAAGAGGACTTTTGTCCTCTCTTATAGACTGAGACAATCAGTGATTGAGACTAGTCAGATGGTATAATGCCCAGTTCTCAAATTGTACCTAAGATGTCAGTCAATCTAGCTGCTAAAACTGGATCAAGATCCTTAAAACTCTCAGAGGTCAATCTATCAGGTCCTGCTGCTCTCCCTCGCTTCAGATTTCCTATCGCTTTTCCAACTTCAAACAGATTTGGAGGACTTACGTCGACTTGCCATTCAGGATGACTGGAGATGGCGGGTAACCGAAGTGTTGCTGAAGGCCAGCTGAGCTGAAACCTGAAGTGCTCTGCCCATCGATCCAATCTCCTAGATTGAGAAGGAATAATAGTCCCATTTTTTCCGAGATAGTCTCACCTACAGCCGCATTCCTAATACCTGTTTCCTAGATAGGTTGGAACACCTGTCTGCTGTCGGCTATGCGATCAATGTTTCATGAAACGTAGAACTTTGTACGTAAGTACAGCAGTTCAAGTTGCCATACCACGTTAGCACAGAGATATAATTGTCAATTCTAATCCCTTAGTAGTAGAGGTAGAAAAAGTATTAGAAGTAAACGGAGAGATTAGGGTTCGAAGGTATTGTTCAAGAAGTAGAATTTTGTGAAATGAATTTAAAAAGAAAAAGATATAGGTGATGAGGAATTCAGAAGGTTAGGACTTGAGAGAACACAAAGAGTAAATGCACCTGCGCCATTGCAAACGATTTTGAGCCATGTCATTCAAGGTCTCTAACCATCGGTTACTATCATCTCGCGGACCCCAACCAGGTAGCCTACATCTATCAACATGACTCAGTCCACTTGTCAGTGACTTCATGGATTTCTGCCATGTTTTGGTTTGACCGCCCCCATCTTTCTTCCAAACTATTTCTTCACCACAAAACATAGCTCGTCGAGGCAGTCGGTGGTTAGCCATACGTAACACATGACCCAACCACCTCAACTGATGAAGTTTCAATACTTCATCTATTGATCTACCATCCTTACCTAGCACCCGTTTCCTAACAGCAGCATTGCTTATTCGGGTGTCCCTCAATACTCAAGCAATGCTTCGGAGGCACCTATGATCGAAAACAAGTAACCTACGAATATCTTCTGCTCTAATTGGCCATGTTTCACAGCCATAAAGTAGGACGGAGCGAACTGCTGCGCAGTACACTCGTCCTTTAGTCAGCAAACGGATATCTCACCTACGCCATAAATGACGTAAATTGGCAAAAGCCAATCGAGCCTTCTGTATCCGTGCTGAGATTTCGTCAGTCACCAGGCCATCAGAGCTGATGAGACTCCCAAGATAAGTGAAGCGGTCGACACGCTCAACTACTTCACTCCCTATCACTAGTTCAAGTACCGATACAAGCCGATCTTGAAGCAACATTTTGCATTTCGAGGGGGAGAACCGCGTCCCGAACATGCTTGCATTGTTGCTCAGGATAGTGAGAAGACTGCAATTTGTCAGCGTTTTCACCAAATAGAACTATGTCATCAGCATATTCTGAGTCAATAAGCGATCCTCCTGGTATAAGGTCCACCCCTGAAAAATCTGACGAGGATAATGTTATATCTAGCAGCATGTCTATGACAAAATTGAACGAGAATGGAGAGTGGACATACCTGATGGACACTATTTGAAGTAAAGTATCTCGACGACAGTTCGCTGTAAGCTCTAACTCGACCTGTAGTGTTCGAGCAGAGAACTTGTTTAGTTTAATATACTTCTCTGGCACACCTTTCGGTGACAGCCACAGAACCTTTCGATCAAAATAGTCGAATTCCGCCTTAAGGTCCAGGAAGGTAACTGTTGTCTGACGCCGAAATGTGTCTGTGAGGATGTGTTCCATACATCCACGTCCAGGTATGCAACCAGCCTGGTTTTCTCTAGTCTGCTCTTCACAAGCTCTAGTTAGGCGTCTAAGGATAACTGAGGCTAATATTTTAGAAACTATATTAGTTAGACTGATGGCCCTGTGATTGTCGCAAGAAGACCTTTCTTAGAAATCGGGACAATCAGGGATCGAGACTAGTCAGATGGGATTACGTCCAATCCCCAAATCCAATTCAAGATATCAGTCAATCTGGCTGCTAAAACTGGACCAAGATCCTTAAAAATCTCAGAGCTCAATCTATCAGGACCCGCTGCTCTCCCTTACATCAGATTTCCTATCGCTTTCTCAACTTCATAAAGAGTCGGGGGACTTACGTCGATTTGCCATTCAGGATGACTGGAGATCGCGGGTAACTGAAGGCCAGTTAATCAAATACTAGTAAACTACGACCATTCTTCATATCCGTAAATTTGGACGGAGCTAAAAGCTGTGCAGCGAATATGTCCCTTGGTTAATAGACGGATATCTCGCCTACGTTGTAAGTGACGCAAGTGAGCAAAATCCAACTGAGGCTTCTGTATCTGTTCTGATATTTCGTCAGCCACCAGCATTGATGAGACTACCGAATAAGTGCATTGGTCAACGCGCTCAATTAATTCACTCCCAACCACTAGTTGCATTGACTGGGTATGAACTTTTGAAGACGAAAACAACGGATGTAACGCCGCATGATCAAATGTGTTGTTTCATTAATCTTCCTAAGCATTACAAATAGTTCTCTCATCTCCTGCGATCCTCAAAAAGAGCAATGGTTCGGTTATCTGAGGATTGTGATGCTATAAAGTTAAGACTCACAGAAGTCTATTCTAGGTGCTGATTCTTCAAGTGAGTTGAGAAAGCTTCTAGTAGTTATCGAATGTAGTTCTAGCACCAATGTTAGAGAGCTTGAGACACCATGTTTCTGAGCCTGTGACAAGAGTCTTACAATCTAAAGTTTCTTAAGATTATCTTAATGAGTGAATTGGTGTTCGTGCACTGAACTAATTATTCGCAATCCAGGCTTCACGATAGTGAAAGCAACTGTTTCTACTTTCTTTTTCCTCGTCCTCTAACTGGAGTGAGTCCGTTTTAGAAAGAAACAGTGACAGCATCTAAAGAACCAAATCGTATTTCTGCATCGATTACCCAGTGACTAATGATTACGAAGTTTACCAAACTAAATGATTCGAATTCTATTTGAGCTGTGACCATAATTTTTCGGTGCGACTACTTTTCCACTTATATCTGCTACCTTATCGTGAATCGGATCGTATGTAGCGAGCGTGTACGTCTTCAGATTGAGTTTACAATTAAAACATTCCCTTAATAAATAGCACATTCGACTTTTTTTGGCAAATCGTAATCAGCGATATTGAGAATAAGTATTTAGAATGAACATACGTCAACTGTTATTCTACCGGAACGCTGATTTCATTTACTGTTACGACATGTACTTGACTAGGTAATAATCAGAATCCAGTCTGCTGTCTCAACGTTTGTCGTGTGATAGAAAGGCGAACGTACGAAAACTTGGCTCAAGAGCATATAATTAGGAATGCACTTACAACATGGGAACGATATATAACCGAGTAAGTGAACATACGAATTCTAATCACGCAATTACCGTAGCTTCAAAGAGACGACTTTCTTATTCTCTAAAGTTGGGATGAGAAACCAGGCCATTTCGACTGTCAAGACATATGTGCTTATTGCCACGACTTATTTTATTAAAACTGACATTTCTCATCTCTGGAACAAGTGACTGGTGTTCCGCGTAGTGAATTACAGTAGTCGGAGTTATATCCAGCACTTCATAGCTGAATATCAAATTCGCGAATACAGGTCATTAACCGTTAATTAGAATGGACGCATGATATTTTGACAACAGATCATGACGACTGATTACTGCGTCCCTAATGTCATTTCAAAGACAATAAACAGGCCTGCTATGCTTCTTACGGAAGTGAACTTCCCAATTGGTTAAATCAATCGATTTAAATCTCAACCACTACGATTACGCGTCATAAGATGTATACGAGAACTTAGTTTTCTATTTTCAACCTTGGATGTCATTCCGAAAACTTGAAACTAATGAAGGGTAATAAGGAAAAAATGTATTATTGTATTACGTCTAGAAAACGTCAGTTGGATTTATACTTGACAAACTAGCGTGTAATTAAACGTCAGGCGTATTGCAAGTAGGATACACAAAAAGGTCTAGGAATGGCGAAAGGGCAATTTATTATTAACCGGAAACTGAAAACGATTCAAACCAAAATGACTCTACTTTGAGTTAAACTAATAAGTTGCGTACATAAGCACATCTACGTCACGAATATAACTAACGATATAACCCATATTGGCGACTGCACTCCTTTAGAGCTTCGGAGAAGGCACTACATGCGCTTATATCACTTTGAGATTGAGTGCATCGAATAAGTTCATCGAGTTGATATTGACATGGAGATTGGTGCTGATCAGAGAGTGGAGATGTTGAGGCAGGTTGTGCAGGGTTGCTACTAGCTCCACCTGACAATGCTCCAGTGATAGCGTGACCAACAACTGAGCCAATAGCCACACCTCCAGCTGTAGTTGCCACTTCCCTTAGGATACTTGGCTGTTGCGATTGTGCTGGAGGATGAGCTACAGAAGATGGAGGTGCACGGGCCGGTAGAGTAGCACGAGGACGCGATGGAGCTTTCGAAGGACTAGAACCTCTAAAGAAAATAAGATCGCATTCAGACAAACTGGTGAGATTACCTTCTGGCCATGACGTCCAAAATTCCTAACGGTTAAACAACGATTATTCCGCGTCAGGGTCACCTGTGCAAAATAACAAATACGTCAATATTCAGACTTTAAGTACATAAAAAAATTCTCTTGTTTTCTGTTGTTCGCTGAACGTTATCCTTACCATTCAAAATAATATTTCACAGTGAGATAAGAACCGTAGGGAAATAGTGAAGCTGAGTACATTATATTTAAGGTGAAAAAACTTATCCAGAATAGCATTATTCATATGAGTTTTAGGTGTTTCGTGTTACCCTCAACAATCACTGATGATGGTTCTTTAATTAATCGTGACTGATGTTTACTGACATAACAGTTTCATGACTGCTAAGAAAACAATGATTTTCTTGTTTATTTTGCAACGTTTCCTACACAATCAGTTTAATATGAATTATATAAACTAGTTTCTATGTATATTTGATGTGATTTTAATTTATAACGATCTGCTGGTGGGGCATCCTAACCTCAGCTGCTTCCATACTAAGTTAAAGTATACTATCTAAATAATTCCTTTCCGTCTATCACAGTCCAACGTCGCATATTCATGAGAAAGTATATGACTGTAACTGTTTCCTGATGTACTACTTTATAACTTAAGATATTGTTAATCATGGTTTAGCCTGTTAAGATTTTCAATCTGCCTATCTACACAGACTTCTCTGGTTGTATACATATTTCGGGAACAGAACGATTCCTTCAACAAACAGCTATGCTTGTTTGACGCCAGATGCCAGCGTTAACGATTGAAGTTTTGATAAAATGGCACATCTGAAAATATGCATCGTTTAGTCCAGAATTATGTTCATTGAGATTCTTTTTGGCAATCTACCACCCTACATGCCACTTCAAAATGGTGAGGGTTGTTTTCATTTACTTGCAGTTAAACGAAAGTGTGATTATTAAGGATGCGATTACTTGCAACTTTTTCTATGTGATGGCATATATTTCGCGTAAATACGGTCAGAATTCGTTTTAAGTGTTGATATCAAATTCGAAAAGTACTTTATCCTTGACAGCCTGAAATAACTTTGTGGAATGAAAGGACAACTTCAGAACATACACGCCAAGACAAATGATATCCACTAAAATTTATAGAAAAATGGCGTGAATTGAAGCATTCATAAGTTGGTGCAAGATATATCAAGTAAATTAATGAACCTAGTAGTATCATGAGTACATTTAAGTGCATTTGAGATTAGAGAATCACCTCAAAATTTGACCAGATTCCTCGATTTCTGGGTACGTTGGGAGTGAGGTCGTAATTGTTAAATCTATAGAATGAAACCCCAGATCTAGGCTTGTGGGCATATTTCATGGTATTCCAAGACTCTTTTTGCCTCAACTGATGGGAGTCCACTCACCTACATTAGCGTTAACATTCATTAATAGGTCTTTAGTTGCTGCTGCAATTTTCAGTGGGTTCAGCAGGGTTGATTGATTGAAGAGTTCTTCAAACTGCTCTGCCCATCTGTTTCGCTGTGTTTCAGTGTCAACCAATATTTTGCCTTCCTTGCTTTTCACTGGTATTTTCCAACAAGCTTCATCATTGTCCTGCGCTTCCATCTCTTGCAGCTTTTTCTGCTGTCGCAGCCAGATCTTCCATGTATTTACGTTCGTCAGCTCTAATGTTCCACTTCTATTTATTGTCTGACTCTTCGTATCCTAGATGTACCATGGATTTCTCTATTCTGGTTAGGGTTGCGTTGATTGCTATCTTATTCGTCCTACTTATCTGTGGTGTTTGAATTAACTAGTGACTTCTTGTTGTTGTTGAATGCTTGATTTCGAATTCTAAATACAATACATTCGTTTGTGCTCATCCCGTAGTTCTTGATTCACATACTTCTAATCATCATATTGGCGTCGCGATGGAGCTTGTAATGGAACAGTTAGATATTCATTCTACTTCTGAAGCTTTTGAAGATTATTTGGAAAGGTTTGAAATCTGGAGTATGACCAGGAAAGATGTCAAAGATGATAAAATTGTGGCTCATTTCCTAACATTCATCGGAAAAGAAGCGTACGGCTTATTGAAAACATTAGCATATCCAGAAAAACCTATCTCACTTCCCTATGCAATGCTTAAGGAGTTATTATTCAATCATGAAAGTGCCCTGGTTTTGAATGCCGTGAAAGGGCGAAATTTCATAAGATGATTCGTCAAAATGACCAAAACGTTAAGGAATTCATTCTTGAATTGCAGAAACAGGCTGTCAAATGTAATTTCGGTGATCAATATCATGTGCAGCTGAGAGACCGATTAATTGCAGGAATTAACATACCTAGTTTGGAAAGAGAGCTGTTAAGAATGTTGAACTGTTCCTTTCAAGATGTTAGAACTGCATGTATTAACTACGGGGCGTTAAATGAACTTGATATTCAGTCGATGAAGATTTCCAATACTTTGATTAGTTGTCATGATGAAATACAATCTCAGGGTCAATCAAAATTGTGTTCGTTTAACAGAGGTTCCTATTCTCGTGTAAAAATGAACGGTGTCTCAAAAAAGAATTACAAAGGAAATCAAAAAGGTGAGACCAAGTTTGGCAAATGTTTATCATGTGGAAAACTTCATTCTCGTTATTATTGTACATTTCGTAATGCTAAATGTTTTAGATGTGGTAAGATAGGACACACTCAAGCAGTATGCAAAGCTACAGTTCATTTTGCCTCAAGTAGTACTAAATCTTGTAATTTAGATCCCAAAAATTCAGCTGATCCTAATGATCATTTATCTTTAACTACAATTTCGAAAGGTGATGCTCACATTCACAAGCGATTATATACATCACTTGGTTCATGTCATGACTTTGTTGTGGACACAGGCAGTATAGAGTCCATTATTTCATTCAAGAACTTGAAATCGTTGGATCCTAACGTTATGGTACGACCCACTGAAGTATCAGTATTGGGGATTACTGGACACAGACTGCCTATACGAGGATGTTGTGAATTACTAATAAGAGATGATAATTCCTCATACATACCTTGTGAATTTTTAGTTAGCGAAACAGGACTGTCAATACTGGGTTTAAAGAATTTGGAAAGACTTAAAGTGGAGTTGTCTTTCCTAGTTTCTAAAGAAAATTCTGATGCTTTACTTGAAGATTTGATAGCCACGTGTGCTAAGTGCAGTGTAAGTATGAAAACGGTTCACCACAGGAGTGCCAAACGAATTCAACATGTTGACTACATTTCTCGACAGTCATTACAAGATAAACCTGTTAATACTTCAGACTGTTTGTTGGTGCAACCTGTTACGTCCAATTTTTCGCTCCTTGACCCTTAGAAGCACAGTGTGTCGATCTATTTGCAATTCACGATCCCAAATATTATGTCAAAACGAAACTCCAAAGTAGGTACCAAAGTTTATTGCCAATTCACAAATAATCGACCAAAATGTGTTTGTTTATTACAAATAGACGACCAATGTCGTTCTAACAACAATAATTATAATAATTACAATTACCTTCTATTTTATAGATTCTTGGAGCAAAAGCTGCAAACGAACAACCAAGACAAACAGGAGTCCGAAATGGCCGAAAATAATAATTCAAACAAGTTCATAAGTTAAGTAAAACAAATATACCCGAAAAAACAGTGAAACTAATGATATTTATACAAAGGTTTTGATCAACAAAATGTCTTCATTTCTCCCGTAACACTCTCGACCAAAAGAACCTTGGCTCTTTTCACCGACGAATATAGGTAACAACAATCCAAATATGTGCATCACAAGCAATCAACAACAAACATGCAATATGCCAACAACCTCGTGATCCGTAGGACTTACACCAGTACGCCTAGTGATCCGAGTAGCTACCTACCATCTACCGCTTCAAGAAGACACAGTTTACGTATATCTCTCACTAGGATCCCCTTTCTCGTCCTCAGTTCTACCTGTCTCACTAGTCTATCCTTACTTGGTATCACTCTCTGTACTAGACCTAAGGGCCACTTGTTTTTCTCAGAGAAGTCAGAACATACATATCATTACTAAGTCACCTTCTCGTATGTTCCTCTCTAATTGTGTCCACTTGTATCTACGCTGCAACAGCGAAACATATTCCTTAGACCAACGTTTCCAAAATACTTGCGCCAAGTAACTCGCTTGCTTCCATCTCTTAGAATACCTGTCATTAGATAGAGTATTAGTAAATTCTGCGACATTCTCTCTCAATAGTAATAGTTTTGCTGGTGTTATTGCATCAAGATCCTTTGAGTCGTCTGTAACGGGAACCAAAGGTCGATTGTTATTATACGCTCCCCTATCATAAAACTTTCAAGGTATTCATCTGTTAAAATTTGTTCCTTTACAAGAGCACCCAATACCCTACGTATCATACGAATCATACGCTCCCACACTCCCCCCAATGGCTAGCGGCTGGAGGATTGAAATGCCAGTCATATGTATTAACTGATTAAAAACTTAGAAGGTTTGCTTTCTAGAAGCAAAGTGCACCGGTTACAATAGATAAATTCTACTAAATCAGTGTAATACTCTACGAATGATAAATTTCAGAAAAACACTATACCACGTGAAAAAAGGTTACCACTTTCAGAGTTCGCGCGCTTCCTGTAGTATTCGGTAGCCTTGGCTTATCATACTTCCAGGGTAGACCAACTTGGAAATGGCCAGCCTCCAGTCTAAAGCGACTATTAACTATTTCCAGAGCTCTTTTATCTTCGAGAGAATATTCATTACGAAACCCATCTGCATCCTCGAACTCATGATTATATAATCTTTCTATATCTCGCAAAATATCATTAGTAGAACAATGACACCACTGAACTTGATGTAAAGACCTCGATGCTTCTTTAGGACCTAAAATCATCCAACCGAGATGAGTACGCACACCAAACGGATGCTTCCTGTCTCCCAGGCGTTGTTCAAGGACCCAATGTGCATCTAGAGCATCACACCCAATCAATATTCCTACAAGATTACTTTGCAGCCTCGGTAGGGTTATGTACTTTAAATGTTTCCACCTTCACATCTGGAGTTCGGTTAAAGGCTCTGCATAATCGATCGGAAGTTT